AAGCGAGTCCTTAAACAGATGCGCATAAAGCACTGCTAACAGCCAATGGATTTAAGGGGAAGGATAGGTCCCAGGGACAGGTATGTTGTTGATATAAGCGATTATGTGGAGGCCCTACTAGGGTGGAGGCCGCTGTCCACTATGAAATTATGTCATCGGCCGACCGATCACGGAGGCCCAATGATCAGTTTTTTTCTCTGGTTTCACGGTGTATGTGACTAGCGTGCGCCAGCTTCTCAGGATTCAAGTTCATCCAGTTTTGCTGGAGAAAACTTCAAGTAAAAAGAAGTCAATCCAAACAACTCCACATATTTATGATGATTCCTCAAGAAGTCGTTCATAATTATATAGTGGCTGTAGATGCTGGTGTGTTTCTTCGGGTGATGCACACTTGCAAATTCATGAAACTGATTGTGTTTGTTCGAGACATATCACCAAAACATTCTCAGGAAAAGCTACGCCTGACCTTGTCGTCAAGCGTCAGGTGCACAAGTCCGGAGGAATTTTTTCAGTTGCTTTCAATAAGTGTAAGCTCAGGCTTGCGCACATAAAAGCCTCTTCTGCCTGATCTAAGTCATTTTGCTGACTCAACCGAATCGAAGGCTAATCAGCACTTGCTCTTGGACTGTGATCCGAGTGGATGTCCTGCAGCTGCTGAGGCAGGTTTGAACACTTGAGCTGAATTTGCGATGGAAGACTACAGGATCAAACAGGATGGATTTGGGTTTACTGGTACATGTTGCAGCACATGTAACACGTTGTGTGAACGTTTGCTGAAGCGGAACCTGGTCTGAAGCGGTTGAAGGCCTTTGCAGCCGACAATTGCAGCATTGTTCCTCCAGTATATCAGAGGCATGTGAATGCACCGGAATGCGTATGAAGATTGAAAGGGTAAGGGTAAAAGTAGCTGGCTAAAGGGTGCACTCAAAGTCTGCCAGGCTTACAGAATATGGTGCCAGAAGGCTGGGTGATGGGAGGGTGAATCACACAGATTTGTTCTAAGAAGAACCAATAGCACTAAACCACCTGAGATAGCCTCCAACCTACTAGCAGCTTACTAGCACGATGTACACATTGAGACTTCGAACGTCGAAGCTGTTTGGAGGATTGCCACTGTGGACGCCTCAGCCTTCACCTCCAGGCACAGCACTAAGCGACAAGCATTGACAGGTGTACACCAAAACTGGCGGGTCTCAATTGTATTCAGAAAGGATCTGCCGTTCGAACTGGCTTATAATTTTCTACTCCGATGTCGATGTCATACAGAATACAAGTGAACTGGGATCAGTCTCACAGTGCAGCAGGTGGTATCGCCTGTGCATGGATGAAGATGGCCAGGCTCAGTATTTGATACAAAATATCCCAAACACTAGTAGCAAGAAGCTACTAGGTGAGGCCATTACTACTAGTAACAAGAAGCTACTAGGAACAAGGCATCTTACTAGTAGCTATTCAGCGTCCCTGCAACATTGCAGGCGTCTTCTGCACTGCAAGCTGGGCCTGTTGGAAATGTCTTTGTAAGTCCTGTGAGTAACGACCTCACGAACCGCAATGTGAAGAACTTCTCCTCGCAGCTCTCAGCTTTGAGGTGGCATTTCTCCCGATACTCTCCCTGCTGGGAGCCAAGCTAGCAAGAAACCTGTCTATGTTCTGCTAATCAGACATCCAGTAAATAGATTTACCAAAATCTTTCTACGTGTAATTGTGTGTCCGTTTTTGCCTGTGTAACATTGTTCTTCCGTCTTTGGCAGGCAGGTGGTGAGAATGCATTGACGCTTGAATGCGAGACCTGCAGTGACCAGGTTCGAGCAGCCAGGCAGCACTCAAAGACAACTATGCTTGTGGGCTGACATGCAAAATGAGCTGCCAATAGAAAAAACTATTTGTCGGGGCCCATCAAAACACATGGGGGACCCCCATACTGAACAATTCCGTCGACTTGTTTAATAAGGTGTGCCCAAAATAGAGGGACTCCCAAGATGGGAACGGAAGAGTTTCAAAACCGACAAGGCGCCTATGGCAATTTTATATATAAATGTTCTTTTGACTCGATTGAAAAAGACTCCCAAGAGCCTTTTTGTGAAGCTAGTGATTCTTCGATATTCTTCGCTTGTCAAGTTTCCCTCGGACTGACAAAGATTGCTTTGGAGCCTTTTGATAGTGAACATGAAAGGTGGTATGTAAAAATTCGGGTTTCCAACATTGACTTTTTAATCGGGCTACTAGGAGCAAGAAGCTACTAGGAACAAGGGCATCGCTACTACTAGGAGCATTCTTACTACTAGGAGCAATGCATTTTGGCCTGAAAAGAATCTTCAGACCCCCATCGCCCCTGAGAATCCATCGCGTTGGAAGCAAGCTCGATGCATCGCCCCAAGGTGTTCCTAGCTTCAAGCTGCAGTCAAAATGCAGACTCCTCAGGAATGAAAGCAATTGAACAGTGAAGAATAGTAGATGCGTAGATAAAAAGATATGAGTTGATGGGCAAGAAACAAGATGTCGTAGCGATGGCCTCCAACCTAGAAGCAATGGCAAAGCAGTTGATGAAAAGCTGCACAAATCTCAAGGCGTCAGATTCCCGTGCGCTTTTCAATGACGGTGCGGCATGGACAGCTGTGTTTGCTGCTTAAATGTTGACCCAGGATGACCCATGTGAATTTACGGGAGAGAGTCCCAATCAGACTGTCCCAAGGCTGGACACATTTCTTGAGCCTGGTTATTTCTACCAGCTTTGTGCATGGAGCTCAAGGTCTTCAAGCAGTTGTCCGTTTCCGTCGGTAAGTTTTTTTGTCGCTGAGTACGATGCTTCAATTGAAAACATTGCTTAATTGCCTTATGCCTCACGAATTAGCTTTCTAGGTGTGAAAAGGACATCGCCAGGAACTTCACAAGCAGCCCTGCAAGTTTCGCATCGTGAGGTAATTGTGGAGAATGTGACTGGACCAAGCGGCGAAGCTGTTTTCTTGTTACCGAACGTCACTGTGCAGAAGGAATGGGAAGCTGAAACAATGTTCACACAAACATGAGTCGTTTTGATTCTGATTGCGTCAAGCCATGCTGTGCCTCAAATCAATACATCAGGAAGCTATTTCAGGCACAGCACAACTCAGCTTGGCACTCATGAGAAACGCAGAACCAAGATCAAGCACTAACAATGTTCGCTACTAGGAACAAGTGCCACGCTAGTAGTAACAGG